AATTCGAATATTTTTTCATTTTCATGATTTCTGGCCATTTAGAATTTTTTTCTGTGCAGTCTTTATATATATATTCTTTGTTGCCATTTTGAATTGGGTTTATTTTCTTCAGTTAATGAATTTGTAAGAGTTCTTAATGTGGTAAGAATATTTTACTATATGCTCTTTGTTGTAGTTTTCTCCATTTTTGTCTTATACTTTAAGTTTATCATCTTTTTTTTCATAAAAGCTTCACATTTTCATGAGTTATTCCCATCGGTGTTTCTTTTTCTTTAATGATAAAAATTACCTTTTCCCATCACAGTATGTGATGAATGTTTTTCTGTTTGATATGATAACGTATTTCTATTATCTTCACGGTTTTATTTTTTCGCACTTACTAATTTAATGTAACTGATACTTTATTATATGAAGTAGAAGTCAAATTTAATTTTCTTCCAACCCCTTAATATATTGTTCCAACATCATACTCCAGTTTGATATATCACCATTTGATATATCACCTTTATCTTAGTTACTAAGTTGTGCATTAATGTCAGTTTCTAGGCTCTGTATTCCATTGCTCTGCCTGTCCTTGAAATAGTACCACACTTATTTAATTATTATAATTGTTTATTTATTATACTAGTATTATTGAAAGCCTACTCTGGGCTGAGGTGGGGAGTAGTCATTGATGAATAAGATAAAAATGTTAGTTCCAAGTATGCTTTCTTAAAGATATGTCACAGTTTGATTTTATAAGTATTCTGATTTCTCTTTAGAGTTTTTCTTGATTAGTCTTTTCCACTTACTTTTCTTCATAAATTTGGAATCATTCTGTCAAGTTCCCCCACCCCCCCAAATTCTGCTGAGAGTTTGGCTGCAATTTACTTATATATATATTAAGCATGTTTTTAAATTGGGTAGTCATTAACTGATTTATAGCACTTGAGGTTCCCGTTTCAGAAAGACAACATTTTTCTAAGATTGCTGTATTATGTCCCTCTCTACTTCTTTAAGGTTTTCTTAGTTTGGGACTGTCACTCTATTTTCTTGTTAGGAATGTGTGTCAGTGTGTCAGTCACTAGTTGTGATGCCCAGTTCAACTGTACAGGTCTTGTTAGTGACTCTGCTAACACACAGCATAAGATTGGTTGACAATCTTAAGTATGTGTTATGACTTGTCTTTTTTTTTTTGAGTCACCTTGTTTTAATGGTCAATTAGAAGAGGTGGAATCATGGCCTGTTAGCCAGATGCCACCTTAGGAGGCACTGTCTCTCTCAGTCTCTCAGCATGGGAGAAGTATAGCACAAGAAGGAAATACTCAGACCTGATTCCTTCTGGCTAATAGTGTGGTTTTAAGAATTCGGAGAAATAGGTCTGGCTTAAAAGGGAGAATTTGGGAATGAAAAAAATAGGAAGTAGGAAAAAGAAGAAAATTTACTAGAACATAACAGAATATTTTATAATAAGGTAATAGGTAACTGTTCTGGGGAGTAAAGATGAGAAATATTTTACATTTTTTATTAGGAAACGTGGGTCTATGCAGACATCTCATTACAGTGTTTATTTGGGACCTTAAAGGACAGTTTTGCCTAGTCTTTCATATAAATGAATAAAGAGAAGTGAAGTAAAAATATGTGTATACATAGAAATGAAATTAGTGTCTATTCATACACACATATGTATATACAGTACACATACTTTCCAGGCCAGTGCTGCTCAGAGAGCAATCTGCAGACTGCTGTTGGTCTGTAATGAGGTGAGAGGAATTGAGAGTGAGCATTTTGAAACTTAATAGCAATCTGACCTTGCTGTAACCTTGTTTTTCTCATATCTTACAAAATTACAGGAAGTACATGTGCATTGGGTATACATTAAAAACCTAAAAAAATTTTCTTTCACTATCAGGTGATCATGGTGTACTTTGCTTAGACTGGGTATTTATGTGTCGATTTGTTCTACGCAGGGTGTGGCCGGAAATCCTATGGTGAAATCTGTGCTTGATAAAACAAAACACTCGGTGGAAAGCATGATTACCACCCTGGATCCTGGCATGGCTCCATATATCAGTATGTATTTAAGATAGAGTGAGGTCTGCCATATGTTTTTGACGTGTGGGCTGATTTGTTTTGGTATGAGTAACTCATCTTTTTCTTAGCACACTTCAGTAAACTTCGAAAACACAGAATGAATTTTGGAGGAGTAAAAACAATATGAATTATTAGTATACTTACTGATTTTAATTGTAAATATGGTTACTGTTGCTTTATATGAATTTCACTTTACTCACTGTTGACATTTGAAGTGATGCTTTGTTCATACTTGGTTTGGACAATTGTCCAGTTATCTATTTTAATGAAATGTGTTCATGCTTAACTCAGCGATAATATTGTTAGAGGAAGATAATATCTGATTTACTAGGTTTGTTTTAACTACCTTTGAACTTTGATTACTGAGAATCCTCCAGACAGTTGACATAGACATGCTGTCATTTAATTTCTAATGTACAAATGTAATATGTGAAAAAACATAATTGCTTAGTAGACTTAGTGAGCAGTTATTAGTAATTCTGTTGAAATAATTTAGAAGCAGCTGTATACCAGATACTTGAACAAAGACTTTCAGCAGTGGTACAAAGTCAGTAGCTTTCATGAATCTTGACTATCTAGTCACGTAGTTTATCATCTAGTAAATGTCAAATGGTAAGACCTCAAAATGGGAAGTACCATTTATTAAATGCTTGCTCTGCCAGGTACTAATTCTTATAAGAACTTTGAAAGGTAGGTATTATTTTCCCCAAGTTTTAGATGAGAACCTGTATTCAGAGATTTTGTTATCCTGGGTTATCCTTGGTGGAGCTAGATTGAACCCGTGTTTAGTTTTTTTACACTTAGCCATTTTGCTTCATTGAAGTAGAAAATTGAATCAAAAGTAAATCAGATCAATTTCTCTTTGTATTTGTAACCACCAAAGGATTTAGAAATTGGACCCTACCATATATATTGATTTTATATATTCATAATAATCAAGTTGATATAATTAATGCGTCCTATGTATTCTTTACAAGTTCACGTTTTGAATGAGGGAAAGAAAGGAGTTAGTATTTTTGGAGCTCTTGCTGTATGACTGGGTACTGTGGTAGATTATGAAAGCATTTACCTTATTTAATTATTAAAGCAAGCCCTGTGAGGTGGCAGATATTTTTCTCTGAAGAAACAAGCTCAGACATTTGCCCAAGGTAACTGAGCTAGCAAATTATAACAGCAGGACTCAAAACCAAGACTTTCTCAGATCAGTACCCTGTGTGACATCAAGAAAAAGGCAATAAACCAAGGGATGGAGGGTAGAGAGGGAGAGAAAGAAACACATTGAAATTTCTATTACTAGCAAGTATAACATATAATCTTAATTAGCTATAAAAAGTCGTAAGAGTGAGTGTGAAAAAGCTGACACCTCCTCCTGACAGGCTTTAAAGGCAAGACCATTCTCACCTAACAAAACCCAAAGTAAAACTTCAATGTTTTTACACAAATATTCTAGAAATCACCATAACAATTTCAGATGTGTCAAGAAATCAACTGCTAGAAATGGATTTTAACACAGTTTAATTAACTTCCTACATTTTTAAAATTTGTTCTCCCTTCATCATTAAAGGTGGCATTAATCACAAAAAGCCTGAAAAGCCTTTTGGGCTGAAGCTTAATGGAGCAGTGCTTAGCTGAGGTCAGGAGATATGTCCCACATGGATACAAAATGAGCAAAAAGTATATGCTTCCTCTTTCCTGTATGACCCACTGCTTTTAGGTGTTAGTAACTTAGGAAATTCTAGTAGAGATGGGATCTGTGGAACATTATATGTCAGTCAGAAAAATGATTGACATCATTTCCCAAGGTTAGGAAAAAGGAGATCCATCATAAAAAAACCAAATATTTGGAAAATATTTGCAACTGTTCTACAAGATACTTAGGAAAAAGCATAGCATTGTTTCTGGGGCAAAATGTTTCACAATACAGACAGGTTCCCTGAAGAATCTCCTTTACCAGTGATAGACATCATGCTATGTCACAAATACGCTGCTCTGAGAACCAGGCCTTTGAATTCAGTATATTGCAAAATGGTTAGATTTAGATTTTAAAAAATAATCAGGCGTATTTGGTCAAATTGCTTTAAATAGTACACAGGTTTTTAAAATAATGAGTTGAAATATTAAATGTGTTAAAGTATTTTTATTTCATATTGCTCTTAGCCTTTTTAACTTTCAAGTTTTATATATATTGGCATTTCAGTTTTCATGTATGCTTGCATGTTTGGATTGGAACAGTAATAGATGTATGACTTACAAATACCCTATGTATTTGTGGTATATGCTCTTTTTAAGAAATTTTTAAATGGGGATGTGTTCTAAATTTGACTTGCATTCAAACTATTCTCTGGATAAAGAGCATTTTCTGGCAGTCCTTGTTCAGTGCAGAGCTTGTATGGAGAGCTCTTTGACAGGTCACTTCCAATCAGTGACAGTGAGCTTCATTTTCATTTGCTGTAAATAAAGCATCCTAAGTCTGTAACTTATACTTCACAAACCAGTATATACGTAATTTGTGATGGCTCCATAGCTGGAGGATTGGAAACACGCATCTACTTGGTGTTAGAAATTTGTGTATAATAGATGTCTGCCTTTATTAACGGGAGAAAAGACATGTTGATTTGCAACCTAAGAATGCAGTAAATGTGTCTATCCAAAGTTTAATCAGAAAAGTGAGAGTTGGTGAAATTAATAGAGCTATATAGTAGAACATTAAACTTTTTGTAGCTGCTATAATGTCATTTCCCCAATTGATACCTGTGGAACACTTTTGAGGAGCTGTTCTTGGATGCTAAAAAGTATTCCATGAACAGCAAGTCCTGGGTTAAAGACGTGATTTTTAATTGTTTGATTTCTCACGATCTTTGTTAGTTTGCGTTGTGAATTTCCAAGGAAGAAACGCACTGTGCAGCATCTCCCGAGCTTACTTGACCACAGAACCCTGTGCTTAGGGGAGCTACTAATATATTCTAGAGCAGTATTTCATAGAATGCAGAAAAATGTTGCACTCAAACAATACTCAGAACCCTTGCAAGGTATGTACCACCTTCTGCTTGCAAATAACACTCCCTCAGGTAATGCATTAAATTCTCATTGTTAAAACTCAGGATAAGTTAGTTGTTCAGGCTAAGCACTTGTTGGAATAAGATGCAATTAGATTAGAGGGTAAAAATGTGTGAACACATTAGATGGTGTAGGGAAAAAAGCAGTGCAGAGTCTGAGAGACCTAAGTCTGAGCCTGGCAACATCACTAAGTAGCTGTGTGACCTGGGGCAAGACCTTATCAGCCTGTTTCCTCAGCCAGTAAAAAAGTTAATAGTTTGTATTTTCCATCATTTTGTAAGGTTAGTGGTAATTAATAATAAAATGCATATGGTAGAAATTATGAGAATTTCACTATTTAAATTTGGAAATGAAACTTTCTTGTGGTCTTTGTAGAATCTGGAGGTGAACTGGATATTGTAGTAACCTCAGATAAAGAAGTAAAAGTTGCTGCCATCCGGGATGCCTTCCAGGAGGTCTTTGGCCTAGCTGTGGTGGTCGGAGAAGCTGGACAGTCCAACATTGCCCCACAGCCAGTGGGCTATGCAGCTGGATTGAAAGTGGGTAATAGTAACTGGCACTTGATTTTTTTCATAATTTTGATACTCCTATGATCTGTGTGGAGCTAATGGGTTTTTGCATACTGAAATATTGATTAGCTTGGTTTTTAAGTGGACATCTTGGTAGTGTTATAAAGACAGAGTGGGGTTTAATTTAAAGGAACCTAAGGTAGTTTTTGATTATTGGGGAAGGGGAAGAAACATGCAGAGAGCACAAAAAGAGATCTTAACCAATGTTAGCTTTTTAGTCAATTACTGAAATTGTAACATGCCTCAAATCGTGAAACTTAAGCTTTTTTTTATTGGCACTATTAATACTTTACACTTAAGAATACTTAAGTATCTCTTCATGGTTTATGGGACTCATCTTTTGTGAAGTTTCTAGAGTAGAACCGAGTTTCTAGAAGCAGGTTGTAGATTGACCGTGCAAGTCTCCCATTTCCCTTGTACATGGTAAGGGAACTCAGCACTTAGCCAAAAAGCTTTTCTTAGCTTGCTTTCTTTGATTCTTTCTCTGTCTTTTTAACTCCCTTGTCTTAAAGACCGCACTACCTGGCACCTTATGGGCACAGGGCCTGTATACCCAGAGTTTGCTAAGATCCCACCAGAATATAGGGACCTGTTGGGTCTTACTACCAGGAATAATCCACTCATCCAAAGAAGACATTGACGAGTCTTACTACCAGGAATAATCCACTCATCCAAAGAAGACATTGACTTAGATATTCATTGTGGGGGAAGAGGAGCTTGTGGTTGAGTCCATAGGTAATCCCTACCTAATAGGGGCAGATGGTAGAAGGACTTACTTTGAAGAGAAATTTTATAAAATTGCCAAAATTCACACCACCACCACCAGTGAAGGTCACACACTTTGTCCTTTGGCCTCTTAGCAGTAAAGAACTTGTACGTCTGCATAAAACCACCCCTGTTCCCAGTGTAGCAGAGCTGGGCGCTGGGGCTCACTCGGTGTTGAAGTTCCATAATCTGCCCTCTTTGACCATCAGCGCACAAACCTGCAAGATCATATTAACACCTTGTCAGCTTACCAGCAGCTCTCCCAGCTTAAAAATGAACGAAAGGAACAGTAACAGTTTTTTTAACCTTAATTCCCTCATCACGTACCACCTAATTTTTTGCTTCTTTGGCATCAGAACTCTCCCCAAGACTTGCCAACGCTTCATCTCTAATCCTTCCCTTCATAGTCTCCAGCCCGCATCCGGCTCCGGCTCTCACTGTCCATTCCCCGGAGAGGACATGTTCCACATCTCATCTCATTGGGACAGTGGCTGCTCGGCCTCCCCTCCCTGGGCCGGTGGGTACACCGGGCTGCGGGGTCCCTGCTGCACGGCTTGCTCCTGCCTGGCTGCTTTGGCCCGTTCCTCCCCTTCTCCCCGCCTTCCAATGTCTCCTCTTCATCCCCACTCCCTGCCTTAGTGACCTTGTGCTGCCCCATGGCCCTAAAGGGTGTCTGTGTGCTGGCAGGTTCCCTCTCATGTAAACTGGGTTTATTGAAAAGTGGCCTTTCACCACCTTTGCTTGAATGTCTCAAACTTAGTACATCTAGTACTCTGCCCCTCTTCCCTCGCAGCCTTCTCCATCTCAGCGGCGGTGGCGCCATGCTTGCGTTTCCTCGGGTGAGAAGCCTTGGAGTCCCCTTGGCATCTCTCCTCACCCATGTGCATGTCATCAAGAAATCCTGTTAGCTTTACCTTCAAAATATATCCAGCCTCTGACTGCTGGCCACTGTTTCCGCTGCTGACTTGGAGCTGCCACAGTGTCTTGCTGGGATGTTGCAGTCACCTCCCAAGGAGTCATCTGGCTTCTAGCCCTGTAGCGCGTGGGGTTGTTCATGGTTTTTCAGCACCTTATGCTTCACTCAGTGTACCGCCCAGATCCCTCACAGTGGCCTCCACAGCCCCACACGACCTGGCCGGTCTGGCCTCTGTGTCTTCACTGCCTCACTTCCTAGTCCTGCCCCCTGCTCTCCACGCCAGCTGCATGGGCCTCCTTACAGTTCTTTATACTTGGCTGGTGTGGTGCTCTCCCCTGAGGGCTTGTCTCCGGGACACTCTTCCTCCCACGTCTGCTTGCTTGGCTCCCTGACCTCCCTTGTCTGCCCTTGGATCCTGCCTCTGCCGCGCAGTGTCGCGGCTGCCCGTTTGGTACTGTCATCTACTCCCCTCCACGGCACTCCTGATGGGGCTTACCCTCTTCTGTTTTTTTCTCTAGCCATCAGCACCTTCTGATATACTGTATCATTTACTGTTGTGCTATTGTTACTTGTTTCAATGCTTTGTTTCCCCCTAGAATTTAAGTTCCACAGGAGCAGGGAACTCCTTTTTGTTCACAGTTGGGAACTTTTCATGTAATGCTTGTGTTCTTTAAAATGTTATCCAGCAGTTGTAAGAAGATGTCTTGGTATAAAATGCTGAACAGCAGAATTCAGAATGCCAGGGTAAACTTATTTAATAATTGATTTTCTCAAGTAAGCAATACAGTTAATAATTGATTTTCTCACGTAAGCAATACAGTAAAGAAAACATCTTCACTGTGGGATCTGTTAGGGATTTCGATGTAACACCTTATCAATCTGAGGATAGAAATAGAAGTTTTTCCCTTAAAGAATTCTAGCTACTGCCCACCTGTTCGAATGGCTTGTTGGTACCTTTACAGTCAGACAGTCAAACTGGGCATAAGTACCTCTGGGAATACCCAGACATTTTGTAGGGTCTCAGTGGGCCCAGCTATTTTTAAGGAACTCATCTTCTGCTTCCTCAACTTCTGTGCGTGCTCTCTCCTGAGGTTTTTCTGCCTGAATTCATGCCTGTATTTGAGACAGCATGCTTTTTTTCAAAAACAGTACAGGAAACTAATGAGAAGAAAAATATGTAGAATCCTGTACTATTAAAATTTCAACCCAGATTTTTTTCCTCCCCATCAGATCTTATTTGAATTGAAGTGACCAGCTTTTTTGAACTAAACTTCAAGTATGTGAAACTTTAAAAGGAAGAAATTAGCCATAATTAAAGTTAAGAAGTTTCTAAACTTCTCCTATGCTAAGTGTCAGTTTTTTGAAAAGCCAGTCATAGGACTGTAGCTGTATAGCTTATATTCAACAATGATGTGGTTAACATCCACATGAATTTATGAAGAGGTATGGAATTTTGATAATCTAAACCTGGTTGCTTCGTATAAGCTCTTAGAGTATGGTGTTAAGTTCTCGGGGCCTTTCTGCATCTTACTTCAGTTCTGAGGTAATTCCTTCCACGTGGTCTCTAAACTACCCAGTTCTTGATCCCCCCACACTGCTGAGGAGGTCAGAATTCCACTCTGAAAACACTGGTAGGGACTCCTACCGAGCGTCTGTATTTGTGACTCCAAAAGATGCCACATGTAATTAAGGTTGTGTTCAGAGCAGAGGAGAGGCCACCTGCCCTTCTCTTCATTTTCTTCTGCAGTCCACAGACAAAAAGGATGGAATTTGTCTTCCTAGCTTTTCCTAGCTGTTACAGGTGTCAGTTGATTTCAGTTAATATTTTGCAAACCCTTTGAAGTTTGAAGCCCTGTGCTATAGGATAGCAAAATGAACAATTTCTGTTTCCCAGAAGCATAAAATCAAGGAATATTTTGTGGTAGTGCATAGCTGAGACATCACCTTCAAAGAGAGTGAATCTGAGCATGCCACTCATCTAGTAGTAAGTTTATATATATATACTTTTTTTATTATTAAAGTATCATTGATACATCATCTTATGAAGGTTTCACATGAGCAATATTGTGGTTACTAGATTCCCCCCCTATTATCAGGTCCCCACCATATACCCCATTACAGTCACTGTGCATCAGCGTAGTAAGATGCTATAGAGTCACCATTTGTCTTCTCTTCTCTGTGCTATACTACCTTCCCTGTGCCCCCCCGTATTATGTGTGCTAATCATAATACCCCTCAGTCCCCTTCTCCCACCCTCTCCCACCCCTTTTGGTAACCATTAGTCCCTTTTTGAGTCTGCTGCTGTTTCATTCCTTCAGTTTTTAATTTGTTGTTATACTCCACAGGTGAGTGAAATCATTTGGTACTTGCCTTTCTCTGCTTGGCTTATTTCACTGAGCATAATACCCTCTAGCTCCATCCATGTTGTTGCAAATGGTAGGATTTGTTTTTTTCTTAAGGCTGAATAATATTCCATTGTGTATATGTACCACATCTTCTTTATCCATTCATCTGCATATGGACACTTAGGTTGCTTCCATTTCATGGCTATGGTAAATGGTGCTGTGATAAATGGGGTACATATGTTTTTTTGAATCTGTGGTCTTGTTTTCTTCAGAAAACAGATCTTTTCTTCACAGATTGAAGAAGACATATGCACTCCTAAGGTAATATTTATTTAAACTACTTATAATCACAAATTAGCCGTAACTACCTCTTGGGAGGAGGATTTTGTCAAGTTTACATGGTCCAGTATAAAGTTAAGTTCATCATACCTATTACATTTTCTTTTAGATTGAATAGCTGCCTCCTCATTCAGTCTTACTAGATTTGGTGGTGGTATATCTATCGTTTACATTCTTACTGTTAGCAATATAGGCCTGCAGAAGCCTGTTAATTTCCCTTGGTTGGTTTTTCATGTAGTAAATTCTTAGTGGATGCCTGTTAGGTTAGGCACTGTGCTAGGTACTAGCATTAGGAGAGTAACCAAAACTACACCATCTTGATTTTAGTGTGGTTAATATCATTTCTGCTCTCATTATTTATCTGTATAAACTAATGTTTTAGGTCGGTTTAACTGTTCTTACACGCCTGTCACTTCCTCTTCTTTATTTCACCTGTCTCTGAAATAAATTTAGGCATCTCTAGCGTGTCCTAGCTTTTTAAATTTTCATTAGAATAAGAATTGATATAATAAAAATGGGTATGTTATTCATGGCTAGTTTTATTCAGAACTAGGAAGGGTTTTATTTTGCTTTTTGAACATATTCTCATCACATTGATCATTCATGATTACTGTTTATGAAGTGATTCAGATAAAAGTAGTAAACACCAACCTTGTCCTCATTGATCCAACTTTTAGTTTTTTATAAGATATATATTGAATTCATAATTATGTGTTATTTGTATAGTGTTCCCAGCTCCTCAATTTTATTGCATAAATGGTAGTAATTTTACTGAATAAGCTCTGGTGTAATGTATACATTCGCAGTTACTAAAAAATGTCACTTGATCATGTTTTAAGGCTGTATCTAAAGAGAATCAGAAGAAAGAAAAAAAATATATTTACTGTTGGTATGATTGCCTACATAGAAAATTCAAGAGAGAGTCAGCTAAAAGATTTTTAGTAAGATGCCCCCTTGCCAGATCAACATTTAAACGTACATAGTTTCCTTATATTCATAGCAACTATGAGAACATGGAAAAATAATCCATTTCACAGTAGCAGCCAAAGTAGCCACACATACAGGAATGGTTTGGGGTGTGCACTGCAACCTTTAGTGCCATGGGGAACATGGTGGGACTTCTCACTTTTTACTCTAGACTTGCATGTTGTTTGAATGTGTAGAATGAGTATATATGTGTTTGTGTATAAATGTATGTGTATTAGGGAATCAACAGTTAGTGTATTTAATGCTGAATAATTTGAAGTGGCTTGTGACCTACACTGTTGTTATGCAGGGGGCCCAGGAACGGATAGATAGCTTGCGTCGGACCGGAGTGATCCATGAAAAGCAGACTGCTGTGTCAGTAGAAAACTTCATTGCAGAATTGCTACCTGACAAGTAAGAAGCTGGTTTGATTTTTTTTATGACTTAGTTAAAATTCTTTCTTTTGATGAGAACTTTTAACATCTATTCTCTTAGCAACTTTCAAATATGCAATGCAGAATTATCAACTGTGGTCACCATCCTGTACGTTAGATCACTTATTTGTTTGGTTTTTTAAATGGTACCTTTTAATCCTCCTCACCCATTTCATACCCCCCCGAAAGCACCTCCATACCGTTTTCCATAGTGGTCACACCACTTTGTAGTCTCGCCGACAGTGCAGAAGTGTTTCCTTTTTTCCACATGCTCTCCAGCACTATGTTTTGTCTTTTTGATAACAAGCGTTCTAACAGGTGTGAGGTGATAGCTGATGGTGGTTTTGATTTGCCATCTCCCTGATGCTTAGGGTTGTTGAGCACCTTTCCATGAACCTTTGGCCATCAATATGTCTTGTTTGGAAAACAGTTTTTAGAACCTGTGCCCATTGTTTAATCAGTTTTTCTTTTTCCTATTAAGTTGTATGAGTTCTTTATATATTTTGCATATTGGCCCCTGAATATGATTTACAAATGTTTTCTTCTATTCAGCAGGCTGCCTTTTTTTCTTGTTGATGGGTTGTTTTTGGCTCTGTGGACATTTCTTAGGTGTTGTCCTGCTTGCTTATTTTGCATTTATTGCTTCTGCTTTGGGGTGTCAAATAAAAAAAAGTCATCTGTAAAGCCAGTGTCATGCAGCTTACTGCCTATTTTCTTGTAGTTTTATGGTTTCGGGTATTACTTTGAAGTCTTTAATCCATTTTGAGTTAGTTTTTGTATATGTTTATGTTCTTTTGCATGTGGCTGTCCAGTTTTCCCAACATTGTTTATTGAGCAGACTGTCCTTTCCCCATTGTATATTCTTGCCTCCTTTTTCCTAAGTTGATTGACCTTATAAATGTGTGGTTATTTCTGAGCTCTCTATTCTGTTACATGGATCGGTATGTGTGTTTTTGTCAGCACCATATTGTCTTGATTACTGCATCTTTGTAATATAGTTCAAAATCAGGAATGTGACGCCTCCAGTTTTGTCCTCCTTTCTCTAGATGCTTTGGCTATTCAGGGTCTTGTAGCTGCACATAAATTTTAGGATTGTTCTGTGAAAATGCTGTTGGAATACTGATAAAGATTGCATTGAATCTGTTGTAGGTTGCTTTGGGTAGTATGGATATTTTAACAATATTCTTCAGTGCATGAAAATGGAGTATCTTTCCATTTATTTGTGTCTTCTTCAGTTTCTTTCATCCTTGTCCTATACTTTTCAAAGATAACTAGATCTTTTCAAACAGATCTTTCTCCTCTTTGGTTAAATTTATTCCTAAGTATTTTATTCTTTTGAGGCAGTTGTAAATGTTAATATTTTCTATATCTCTCTTCCTGATAATTCATTATTAGTATATAGAAATGCAAGACATTTTTGTGTGTTGATTTTGTATCCTGCAATTTACCAGATTCATTTATTAGTTCACAGTTATTTGGTAGAGTCTTTAGGGTTTCTTTATATTATATGTTATCTGCAAATAATGACAGTGTTACGTAATCCTTTCTCACATCTTTGGATGCCTTTTACATCTTTACCTTGCCACTTTACCTTGCTCTGGGTAGGCCCTCTAATACCGTGTTGAATAAAAGTGGCAAGAGTGGACATCTATCTTGTTCCTGATCTTAGAGGGAAAGCTCTCAGCTTTTAACCATTGAGTGTGATGTTTAGCTGTGGGTTTGTCATATATGGCTTTTATTATGTTGAGGTACATTACTTCTATACCCACTTTGTTGAGAGTTTTTATTATAAATAGATGTTAAATTTTGTAAAATGTTTTTTCCATGTTTATTTAAGTGATCATAGGATTTTTTTTTTACCCTTCATTTTGTTAAGGTGGTTATCACATTGATTTGTATGTGTTGAGCCATCCTTGCATCCCCTGGAATAAATCCCACTTGATCATCACATATGATCCATTTCATTTATTGTTGAATTCAGTTTGCTGATACTTTGTTGAAGATTTTTGCATCTGTTCATCATGGATACTAATCATTAATTTTTCTTGTGTGGTTTGGTCTCAGGGTAATGCTGGCCTCATAAAATGAGTTTGGAAGCATCCTTCATCTGTTGTTTGGAAGAGTTTCAGAGGGATTGGTATTAATTTTTCTCTAAGTGTTTGGTACAAGTTTCCCAGTGACACCAGTCTGGTCTTGGACTTCTTTTGTTGGGAAGTTTTTGATTACTGATTGAATCTTCTTACTAGAAATCAGTCTGTTCAAAATATTTATTTTTTTTGTACTTTAGTCTTGGTTGGTTGTATGTTTGTAGGAATTTACCCATTTCTTCTATGTTGCCCAGTTTACTGGTGTGTAATTATTAAGTAAAAGGTTTATTCTGTTTCTCTTGGGAGCAAAATACAGTTAGGTCAAGGGGGGTTACACTGAATACCTAGTAAAATTTTTTGCTGACAGGCAGTGTAATATATGATTCCAGTGGTGGTAACTCAGTGTGAAGGTAGTGTTAGAGGCAGTTCATGAGTGATTGGGGCTTGAACTAGATTTTGAAACATACATATGAAATTTGGATAAGTGGGAAAGAATAGGTAGGACTTTGCAAGTGGAGGAAGAGTTTGAAGATGACTAAGATGTGTTCTGGGGTTAGTGGGTCAGATGTACAAACTTGGCTGAACATCTGTTGGATGGAGAATCCAGAGCGGTCTGGGGACAGATTGCGAAGTGCTGAAAAGTATGAGCATCTGTGTATGCGCCAAGGAGCCATCCAGTGATCATTATCATCTCATTTTTTCCCTCTCTGTTAACCTTTCACTGCTCATTTAATGGTTACCTTACAAATTATATAGTACCTTTTTTGGTGTATTACATTGTAATAAAAATGATGACTTTAGATTACACTGGAACCACTGTAATATGATTTACTCCATCTTCATCTTTTGCATTATTTTTATCAAGTATGTTCATTCTCCTTGTAGTTTTAGCTCCTAAAATATTACCAGTATTGTTCTGTGCAGTCAATATTGATTTGTATTTACTCTCTGAATTCCTTCCTGCATTTTTTTTTTCTTCCTGTCTGGGATCATTGTCCTTCTGCCTAAAGAACTTCATTTGGACCTGCATTATAACTGAAGCCTCTAGCTACAAATTCTTCGTCCTTTCAGTGCACCTTTATTTCTGGAGGCTCTTATGCTGGATGTAGGTAGAAGTCTTACGTTGGCACTTTAAAGGTGTCATTGTATTTTCTGGATTCATCATTCTCTTAAGTCAGCTTTCCAGTTCATTGTTTCTGTGAAGATAATGTACCTAGGTGTGTGTGTATGTGTTTACTTGCTTTTGTATTTAGTTTTTTAAGGATTCACTGAACCGATTCTTTCCCTGAATCTGTCTTTCATAAGTTTTGGAAAGTTCTTGGCCATTATATGTTCAGAATTTGCTTCTGTCCCCTATTCTCTCCCTTTCCTTTCTAGGACTCTAGTTACATCCTTGCTCACCTTTTGACAGGGTCTCACATTTCTCCCGTTGTCAGTCCCTCTGCTGTTCTTGCTGCTTTTTCTCTCTGGCCTTCAGTGTGCATATTATTTTTACCAGTCTTCAGGCACAGCAATCCTGTCTGCCTTCTCTGTTAAGCCCATACATTGACTTCTTACTTTTTAAAAAGTGGTTCATTTTATTGAATGTCTACATCTTTTCATCTGTCTTGGTTCATTTTACTTCTCTTTGTCTTGAGTGTATGAGTGAATCAGTTATTTTAAAATCCTTCTCTGCTAATTTCTGGTGTGAGAGTCACTTGGGTCTCCCTTGGCCTTCTGTGGTATGATGACATTGTGCTCTCTGTCTGGATGCCTAATAATTTTTGAAAGCCAGATGTTGTTTGTGAGAAACTCTAGAGGTAGTCTTGAGAAGGCTCACCCTTTCCTCTAATAAATGAGTTGTAGGGTGTGTGTTGCAGGGGACAGTGTGGTGTACTTAGAGGCTGAGCTGAGGCTCAGGGTCACCTGGAGGTCCTCAGCTTACCTTTGGAAGGTTCTCCCCTTCCAGAATGTTCATGCATTTGTCCTCCTTGCTTCTACAGCTCTTTGATGCCTTTAGATACATGACTTGTATAACTCATCCAGCATGGGCCTGCCATAAACTGCTCCGTCATACCAAATACCTTTTGAGCAGAGAGTAGCATATGAGGAAGATGAGGAATAGTAAATAGTATTAGGAAGTCTGGCAATGGTTTCTAGTATGGATTAACAAGGAGGGAGGATGGAAGGGTTGTGATAAGAAGGTACAGAAGAGGGAGAGAGGAAGACAGCAGATCCAGCAGTCTAAAATAGTTGAGGGTTTCTGCTTTGGCTGCTTCTTTCTGCCATGTTCCTGTGGGAAATAAATGCATGGAAGATAAAATCATGGAAATGCATGCTTATAACTGAAACAAGAAAAGACTGATCCAGGAGGAGCAAGCCAGCCAATAAAAAGGAGGTCCCAATTGTGTTTGAGCCCTAACGAACAGTAGAGCCAGTATAGACCTCGCTGTCCACAATGAGCTTTGCACTGGCTCCTGCTCCATGATGTATATATACCACATGGGGAAGAATGCCTGTGTAAGCATGGGCCGTGCTTAACTCTGCGGTTAACCTAGCAACCTAAAGACCTTGGTTATGTGTTAAATGTGCTAAAACATCCTTAAAGTGTGTTACAGTGAAGTGACCTTCTGTGAATGGACTGGTGGTGGTAGTCTGTCTGTCTTTGGTAAAACACAAATTGGCATACCTGCACCCAATCCTCTGATTCTGTTTTGAAATTTTTCTACTACATGGGATCTAAATGTGTTGGAACCACCCTTCTCAGCCCTTTTTAGTGGCCTCAGCATAGGACTGGCCCAGGCTGTCTTATTTCACCAGCCACATGGAGGGATCCTCAGTAACTGTCCTTGAGGTGGTGGGGAGCGCAGGTGGCGCAGAATGGTAGGAAGCAGATGGAGCAGATGGGCAGGTGGGAACATTCCCTTAGCCTGCGGCACTGGTAGGAGAAATGAAGAGGTTCTGGGGGGCAGGATGGTGATTGCAGTTTTAGATACTGATGGAAGAGAGTGGAATGTGCATTCTCATGAAAGGTTGGTAGGTTCAGGAGCCTGACAGCATTTTGGAGAACCTGGGGTCCTTGGGGTTCTGATGCACGTACACTGGCATCAGAGACTTCACCTCTGTCTCCAGGGACCCTGCTTTGCAGGAGGTCTGTACCTGCCAGCTTAGTCACTATATTTATTTTCTATCATCTGCATTCGATGCAAATCATGGAGAACAAAATTTAGCAAAATAAAATATTGATTAGTATACTAAGTAGAATATTATTTAATGTTCTCAATTTGAATCCATATTCTAGGATATGAATACTACAGATATGACAAACTCCTTTTAATACTTGGCAAAGTTGTTTTATATTTTATTTTGTTGTTTCTTTGAACATGTAAGTTTCCTAATCCATTTTATTTTCAGGAAATGTACTTTTAGGAAAAAAATGGGCATTGAACATTTTTTTGCTCCATATCCTTGTGTTATTTAATAAATTCATGGTTTCAGGCCATCTGCTGGTTTATGGTTCTGGTTGGTTAAAATGCTGGTGGTGTGGTGGTGTTACAGGTGGCTTCACTAAAGGCCGTTTTTAAATGTCATTTTTTTATAAGTATTTGTAATTGGAGGACAGTTTTCTTGATTTCATGAGGCTGATGTCAAAGACTGATTCATAGTGAACAATCCAGAAAATTTGGTTAGATGAGAGCATAAGGTTAGCAGGATATGAGGATTTGTTTCCTGAGCTTTCTAAAAAATTTAATAACTTTGTGAGTGGGCTGTATATTAATGATAGAGATTGTAATATAAATTTCCCATATTTTAACAAGTAGCAATTTAAAAATACTACTCCTGGTAACTATTTGCTTATTCGTATGAGGAAATTTGTCTTTGTTTATTTGAAGTCCCATTCTTAAAGGAACTTGCTGTGATAAGTAATTTTCAATAATTTTTTCTTTTTTGTTATTCTCTTTCTTTCTTCTTGGTATTAAGTCAACAGGGTAATTTTGCAAAGTTTTTATGGCTTGTCCTCCTGAAAATTGACTAGAGTAACATTTCCTTTTTGAAATTTGCTGATGTTTTATCTGAATGATGATACTTTTTTTGGTCTATTCATTGTATTGTTTATTTAGCACTTAAGCAATGTGATGCTTCTATATTCCATTCCAGGTGGTTTGACATTGGCTGTTTGATAGTGGAAGACCCTGTCCACGGGATCCATCTAGAAGCATTTACACAGGCCACACCAGTGCCTTTAGAATTTGTGCAACAGGTTAGTTTTCTCTTTTTCATTATGCTTCAGAGCAACTTGTCATACTGTTTTCAAAGGTTCATGTTAGAATTTCATTGGAAATATGAAATATTCTTGATTTACTTCACCTTTTTCCTTTTCTCTTTGCTTTTCGATTTCCAGTTCCTACCGTGTTGTTTGAGTACCTCCCTAGTGTAGTTTTCCAGCATTTTGGAAAGGTAATACGTTACATGGCTAATCTCTACTTTCCTCACTTTTTCCTTTGCTTTTATGGTTGTTTTCACTACCGTAAGATGAGAAAAAGGTTTACCTCTTCGGCTGCTTTTATGGTCACCTTTTCTTTTCTTTCTTTCTCACTCACTCTCTGTCTACCTCCTTTCCCTCCTTCCTTGATTTTGATCTTCCTGTTTAGAAACCTTAGATGAAAGCCAGTCACCTTTAGGTTTTGTTTAAAAAGTGTCACTAATAGTTTTTATATCCACTTCGTTGCCAGAAGAAAGTAAGCATAAATGTATAATCATTTTGATTCTTTGTGTACTTTCATGTTCCACCTTTAATCCTTTCTTGAACTAAATGGAATGTAAATACATATTTATGTTGGAATCTTAATGGTACTTTGTTGACCTTTTCCTGTCCTATTTCACCACATGTGTACTTAAATGTAATCTCAAAACTGTCAAATAGTATTTGAGAATCTCATACAGCTCTTAGGTTCTCTCCCAAGAAAATACATGTTTACACTCATGCAAATTTGGCATATTATGTTTATAGAATCCCTGAAAACCATTACCTGTGACTCTCTCAGTTCTCATATAAACTGTAAATCCCAGAGCTAATGTTTGGAATTTTGCGATTTTATTGAACCATTTATGCATATTATAATTTTTACCCTAGTTTCTTTTCAGAAGTTCTAGAAAACATTTTTATAGATGGTAATACTAAGCTCATTCCAATGTGAAGGTAACTAAAAGGTTGTAAGCAAATACTGTGCATACTGTTACATGAGTAAATAAGAAAACTTAGATAATAAAGTGGTTGATTTTTCTACAAAAATTAAAAATTTGTTCAGGAATAAGTATTAGGTTGAACTGTATGAAATTGTTGTCTTTGAAATAAAGTCAAATGTTGACATTTTCATCTGATTCAACCTAATTACTTAAGTGAAGCACTGCAATGAAAATTTAATCTTACTCCAGAAAAATCACTGAGTTCTAGTGGTGTGATCTGTTCTTTGAATATTTTGTAATCCTCACTTAAGATTCTTATGCTCTACATAGTATCAAAAACAGAAGGTTTTTCCTTCATTCTGTGAAACTAGCCTGTCACTTAACATCAATAGAAGGTATAATGGTACTTAAGAACTTTAAATGTCAGAATCATTGGTAGAATAAATAAAATCATTTCATGTGTTAAAACATTAAAAAGGGTTCAACCAATTCCAGTACTGGCAGGAACTCCCCACACTACCGAGCAACGCTCCCACACCAGCAGGTGTCCTGAGTTCAGCTTAGTTCCGATGCCATCGACCAAGAGAGCTTTACCTGTGTGGTTCTGACCGACTAGCTGTAAATCAGAGGTTCTCACCACTTGCTCCCTGGTTTTGATTAAATTGCTGGAGCAGCACATAGATCCCAGGAAGCCCACTTACTAGATCACAAACTTATTATACAAGGATATCAACTCAGGACCAGCCAAAGGGAAGTCACGTACTGGGCAGAGTAAGGGTGAACGCATGGACCGTCCACACCCTCTGCCAGTGCACTGCTCCCTCCAAACCTCCCTGTGTCCACCAACCCCCGAGCTATCCCAGCCCCATTTTGTTGGGGCTCTGTGGAGGCCTCATTACAGAGCCGTGATTGATTAAATAATTGGCTGCTGGTGATTGAGGGTTGTGTCAGCCTCCGGGCCCTCTTCCCTCCCAGGAGCTGTGGCAGGAGAGGACGCTGAAAGTTCCCACCTTCTGTGATAATTGTGTTTGGTTCCTCTGGCAGCCAGCCCCCATCCTGAGGTAGGAGCTTTCCAAAAGTTACCCCATTAACATAAGGGGCACCTCCATTGCTCTTATCTCTCAGGAAATACAGAGTTTTAGGAGCTCTGTGCCAGAAATGGGTCCACCACCGTATTATAGGAAATTGTCTGCCAGGGCCAGGCCACTCAGGTTTGCAGGCTTCTATACTGTCATGTTAGGTAGGCTCCAAGAACAGGAGTGGGGTCAGCCAAGCTCTGAACCTCTTTTGAGGTGGTAGTGTCGATTTCCCTTTTACATAATCCATTTATGCATCCCTTTACCCATATCCCCAGTTTTCTGTCATCAGAAGGGACATTAAGTTCAGCCACTGTGCTGCTCTAGATCACAGATGCCACTTCTGTTAGAGAAGGTGAGGTGATATGGGCACAGAGTCAGTGGGCTACCACCAGGCAGTAGAGTGGCATTCACCTTGCACCCCAGTTTTGCCATGTGGAGTGAAGACACCTGCTGGCTCCTACAGGTTAAAAACAGTTTCTTGATTTGGAATCATCGCTGTTTCCACACTTGTATTTGTAATTCAGGTTATTGACAGAGGGAAAAAAAAGTTGACTCCATCTGGGGAAAAAAAAGATAAAAAGTCATTTTACCCTTATCCTCCATTGGCAAGCATTGTGTAGTAGTACCACCTCCTCCCAAGATGCAGAGAAAAGCAGGAGGTTCTCCAGTGGGTATGCCGCTTTAGGCCCCCTTTTATTCAGTGTGAGCACATGTTCCTGAAGTGTAAGCCAGCCTGTCCTCCCCCGATTTTAGACACAGTGTTTCTTTCCACGGCCTATTCCTATTCTCTGTCAGGCGAGTACCACAAGGAGGTGCATTCTGCCCACTGTGGGCCTTTCTGGGCTGTGAAGCGTGTTCCTTGCACTTCAAATAGGTGCAGTATGTTCTGGTTCTTTCTAATCCTCTCACACCGGCACCTCCATCCAGGGAAGCAAAGGCCACCCAGAGTCCATGTCCTAGCAGGACCATTGGTAGCCCTGGGGCTACCAGCATGTCTCTCTTACCAGCTGTGGTCAAGGCCTTCCACCAGGGACTCTGCCACACAGTGTCTGCAGCCCCGGGCTCTCTTTTTTGGCAGCTCTTACTGGCCCTTGGTGCCTTAGAACGCATGACAGGGCTGTGGGCATTCAGCCCGTCTCTGCACTATTGCAGTGTCCCATGTCCACTCATTTCATTGGCTGAGGTGGCCATCTCCAGTGAGCACACAGGACATATGTTTGTGGATTCTAGTCGCCTTCCAGACCTACCAGGGAGTTATTCTGAAAGGCATCAGCATGTCCTGTTTAGTGCACCCCTCAGAGGCCCATAGTGATTTCCAAAGGGCTGTGGCCTATGAGTGCATCCTTCATTAGGGCAGGTCCGACCATAGGGCCAGGCTGGGGCCACTGCCCAGGAGTCAGTGAAAAGCAAAATAATGGGGGATTTTACCACTGCTCACGTCTTCTGTCACTGCTGGGAAAACAGCATGCAGCTAGTTCAGCCCACCGAGCAGGTCTCTTTACAGCAGCTCCCCTGGGGACGCTGAAAACCTCACATAGTGCCGGACCCTGTAAATACTGTGTCTTCCCCTGTATGTACATATGTCTAATAGAATTTAACTTACAAATTAGGTACAGTAGGAGATTAACAACAACTAATAATAAAATGGAGCAAGTATAACAGGACAGAGTGACACTGGTCAGGTGATGGTGGTCTCTGTTAGTGTGTAGCTGTACTGCACTCACCGTGCTTGTAGTGACGTCAGAGGGTAAATGCCTGCGGGGGGAGACGAGTGAGGGGGAGTGGTGGGCGCTGTGACCTTCTGAGGGCACGTCAGCAGGCGGGTCATCTGATTCCGGATGGTGGGTGACAGTGGATCATGGGGCTGCTCTCCCTTCAGTCAGAGTGGCTATCTTCCAAATAGCATGCTGTGCGTTCACCTTGGAATCCAGCAGCCCTCTGTCATCCTCCTGAGAGCTGGTCACATGGGAGGCAGTTCTAGCAGCCTCTGGGTGGTTCAGGTCAGTCCTGGAGGCATAGAGGCTCTTGGACCATGGGTGTATCCTCACCTTCTCCAGGCTGTGTGATGCTGTGTAAACCATTCCTATGTTATTAATGAACTCTGGGCTCTGCCATCCCCACTAGGGTGTATGTGTCTTCCCAAAATGTCTAGGATGGTATATTTCACATCTTAAAATCATTTTATGCCCTTCAGTCCTAAGAGTAGCTTCAATTAATAATGTCCAATAGCTAGGTAGTCAGTGCCCCTCACATGGAAATGTCTAATCCAGAGTCCCAGTAGCCATCACTGGGAGGCACTCAGATTGTGCATGAGCCTCCTCATTGTAGCTCCATTCACGGCTGTGGTACAGAGTACTTGTTCCTCCCAGCACTCAGCTTCTGTCCCACACTGCTGGCACAGGCAGTGTTACTGGGACCCATGTAGCCTGCCCCATTAATACTTGAAAGGCAGATTTACAACCCTTCTGGCTTACAGTTATGGGGGAAATGTTCCTCGGTGAGAGAACAGTGTCCAGCCCCAAAATGCACTCAGGTTAAAAAAAAAACAAAAACCAGAACCAATTCACATTAAGCCTGTCCAAACACACCAGTTCCACAAGCTGTTACATAACTCCACCAAGTCCTATTCCTAACTGTGGCCTCCGGTTTTGGTATACAATACTAGTAGGGAAGCATTCCCCAGGACACATGATAGCCATTCCGTAAAACATCCAGGAAAAGGAGACAACTTCTTCACCTACTACCTGCCTGAACAATCCACTTTCAGAATCCTATCAGCCATTACCATTACATTTTTACTTTGTTTCAGTCTGATCGTAGCATGAGTTTGGGCTTCCCCGGCGGGCTTTGGTGGCCCAGCTCAAGGAGCCCTTAGCACGTCTCCCCCACCCTCCACCCCCATCCATTTTATCCCTTTACCCCTTCTTGTGCACACACTCTGGGTCCCCAGCCAGCTGTTGAACCCTGGCCCCTTCCATCAGCCTTTGTCCTGAGT